TAAATATTCCAAATCCTGGGGCCTACTTGAATAATCTGGAATCTGCAGAAAGTAACCTTGAAACAGAGCCACAGCCCCTCCCACTGAAAAGTGAAAACCATGCATTATCTAAATATTCTTGCATCCTTGGCACGTGCCCATTGTTGTACCGCCTTGCCTTCGTCAGATATGATTCACAGAGATCACCCCACTAGATATAAAACAAATGCACATCATTACATTATATTCCGAAAATGTTAAGATTTGAACCTTGAAATATAACTCTGAAAATCTTCAATAAAATAAAATGAATATATGTATAGATATATACCCACTTTCATGAGGTAATGAATGATGTGGATGCCTATGTGATTGAGGATGCCAAAAGCTACTTTCTTTTTCTTTTTTTTCTTTTAACCAAAAGACAAAAGCTACTTCATTAACGGAATTATAGAGCGCAAGAAAAGAAATTTTCATGTAATTTGGAAGATTGTGCATCCCATGTATATCCCATTTACAATTAACAAAATACTCTTATAATCTTTGATGTAAAACCTAATTAATTAATTTAAGTAGATTAAGGATGTTACTTAAATTAGTTAATATGATTTTTTTTCTAAAATTCCTTAATCATCTTTTTTAATTCCTTCTCTCTTTCTCCTATTTAATTATTATTGAGAAAATATCAATTAGCTTTAATTTAGAAAAGATGATAAACGTATAAGATCAATATCGATATCAGCTCTCAAATTAGGTCTTATAATAAAGACCGGAGGAGTATATTAATTAACTTATTGGAGATGTAGGGAAGAGACCATATGTGTGTGTCTATATATATGTAAAAATAATGTAATAAGTAATTAAGAATATATGCTGATCTGCGGACCACTTGAGTGAAGAGTTCAAGTTCTTGCAATGTGCCATAAACGTCATAAATATAATCCAGGATGGTTATGAAGAAAGCGATCTTGGTCATCTCTCTTCTTAAATATGAAAGCTCAGTTGGGAATTCATTCCCACACCCCAAAAGAAATTTTCTGTTGGCATGTTCCTTACAAAGCTCAGCTTTTCTCCATCTCTCAACCATCTTCGTTGTTTAATTCGTACATAAAACCAAGCACCACTATAAGTATTTAGTTTTTTTTTTTCCCCCTGAAAAACCAAAACTTTTACAGAGGATAAAAGAGATCTCTTGGTCATAGCATGTAATTGTGGTTTTACTTTCTTATAGTTGTGGTCAACTTTGGTCATAGCGCCCGCTACTATTACCGAATATCATTGCCACATCAATGACACGTCTTTGTCCTATCAGTGACATGCCATTTATGGAAATCTTGATCAAAGTTGATCACATAAGAACCGGAGCTAGTATTAAACAAATGATCCTATATATAGACAAATTATTTGAATAAGATCATAGTTTTGGGACAAGTACGTATGACGTGGCGACCAAGCCAGTGATGAGTGGGCCGGGTGAGATAAATATACATTTCGAATGTATTCCTTATCCTTTTGTATGTTTTCCTTCATAAATTTAAGGATAAAAAGTAATTTTGCAACAAAATCTACATATATCATGTTTAGTTTTCAAGAAAAGTAATAAAAGGGAAGGAAATAAAGGACTTGAGGAAATATTTGTGTGTGTAATAAAAGAAAAGGAAATAAAGGACTTGAAGAAATATGTGTGCGCTCCTCCCATTTTTCTATCATTTAATATAAAACGTAAGTTTGAGAGATAATATAAATAATTTAAATTTAATCATTAAATTTTTTTAAAGAAAATCTCTATAACAAACGTTTATAAACATATTTACTTAATTATAAATTTTTAAAAAAAATTAAATTTGTTAAGTCTATATAAATTTAGATTTTTAAGTTTTTGTCCAAAAAAATTTTAAAAATATTTTGTAAAATAAAATTAAGGACAAGAACAAATTTTGAAATATTCTTCAAAATAATTTTAATTAGAAATACTGATGAAGGATAAATTAGTCAATAATAATTTTTCTAATAAAAATTTTAATTAAAAAAATCTTTTTTAAAATATTTTTAATGGAGCCAACAGTTTAGGCTTAATTGTATGTTTTTAAAATAGAGGAAAGACCCATGTAATTAAGTCAAAATACAAGAGAGGTTAGCATATTTTAATATATAAAAAAAAGACATTCAAAATTTTTGAGATCTTTTTTCTTGTCGAAGAAATTTGTGAGATTGAGAGAAAGATGAAAAACAAGAAGCAAATGATAATTTAACTATATAGGATAATATTTAGGCCAAATTTCTTATACATATTATTTTAAGTTCTCCAATAACACATAGTGGTGTGTTATTACAGAAAATGATGCTGAGAACTTGATATTAGCATTTTCTATATATTTATTAATTAAAAAAGTAAAAACATATAAAGACAATCGTTCCCTGCAATTAATTCAAATGACTCTAATTTAATCATAATAACATTTTTATTTTGATTGAAAATTGAATTTGAGTATATAATTAATCCAGCCAATCATTTATTAAAAAAAGCCGAACTAATCAATTTTACATCCTTTCGATCAAGGAATTGACTAACTTTGAATCTACTTTATCACAAAAATCTTATAATACCCAATGAAGCTAAAATGGGAGGAGCACATTATCTAGATAAAAGCGAAATGGGTGGGGTGAATTATTAATTATTAAGTAATGTTTAGTTCAAGTTTGTCATATCCATTAGGTCATCAGGACAAGTTTATAAGTAAATTTGTAAGTACACATACACAATTTGACAGCTAACAGTAACTAAATACCAAAAATTTATATTTCATAGATGAATTTATAAACGCACAAATGAATATGAAGCATGTCATTGACCTTTTTCTACATCCTGAACTCTAACCCTGTGACGTGTGTGTAATCTTGTGACGGCAACTCCTGATGCAGCTATACACATCCAATGAATCAAACGCGAACAACTAGCTAATTAAAGAGGAATTATGTAGCAGAAGAGAAATGAGATGAATGCATAGGAAATAACGTGGAAGAAAGAATTAAGGCATTAAAGAGCGAGACAAAAAAGGAGGCGAGGGGGAGAAGTCTAAAGGGGTGTTTGGATAGAAACCAAATTATGGTTTTAGAAGTGCTTTTACGGTTTATGAAGTAAATATGTAAAGAAATTTGTCTCGTTTTACGAAAAAATGCTTTTGAAACTATGGTTTGGAAGTTACCAAACACCCCATAAGAATGGAAGACAGTGATGAGTGATGATATATAGCAGTTTTATCACCGGGAAAAAGAAAAAAGTGGAACATGCTGTCCTAATCTCACCGTAATATCCCATCTTTTATTAATTTTATAAATTTATTTTATTTTTCGTCATAATAATATTATAATTTTTATAATTATTTTGGTTACAATTTATAATTTTTTTTTTACGGGCTATATGATTTTTTAACTGGATGTTTTGATTCATAAGTAAACTTTCTTCTTTACCAATTTTCAATTACTGCCCATTTTTACCCTATTTCTTTTTACCTATTTTCTTTGTATACTTTTTACAATATGTTCTTATATTCCAAATATATTGGGTTTTGAAATGAAAAAATTAAAAATTAAAAACAACTATGGAACATCCCGATTCTTTTTCAGGATGGGATACGAGACAAAAAATCTCATCCTATCCTAATTATTGGAATGGAACTAGGACAAAGTTGTCTGGGTTTTGTCCCATCCTATAAAACATTCCTAATAGAAAGGCATGAAGGTGCTGATACCTGAAATTTAAATCTCTAAATTGTAATGAATCAAATTCAAATATTTCCACCGTCAAACGAATTCTTATTTTATTCGTGACGGATAGAATTTTTTCCCAATTAAAATTATCATATATTTTTTTCCCAATAACATTTTCGGAAAGGGCCGTCGAGTCTCTTTACATTTTAAATACACAATTTAAATAATGAATTCATTGACATGACAAAAAAAATTTTACACTCCAATTCCCATCGTTTGGGAATGCGTTCTAACATGATAAAGACCATGTTAATGACTGCATTCATTCCATCTCTCATCCCCTCTCCTATTCCCAATTCTGGAATTCTTTTCAGATTACCAGACTAGAAAATATCAAAAGCGAGATATGATGAAAGTGTGTAAAAATATTTTTAATATTTATTATCAAATTAGTTAAAAAATTGTGACGCTACACTTCAGAATAACTAGAGAAATTGAAGAATTCGTAGGCAATCATCATTAATATGATGATATTTCGAGCAAACTCTAGCTCAGAGCAAAACCATCTCCCATTAAGATGACAAGTGGGATCAATTATAACAAGTCACAACACATTCATATTATTGATAATGAAAAAGAGATACTCTCTCCGTTCCTTATTATAAGAGACAAATAACCGAAGTACGTTGATAAAAAAAATAGTTAAAATTAGTTAAAAACAATTAATGTGTAAAAAGTATAATTTTTTTTCCAAAAATGCCCTCATTAATAAGGAGAGAGAGCATTAAATTATTAAAAGAAAGAGAAGTGGAAGGGAGAGAGAGTGTGAGTTGGAGACAATAAATATGGGTAAAATAGGAAATCAACACAAAAAAGTAGAGACAACTTTTAAGTGTCTCTTATATATAAGAACATGCCATAAGCATCAAATGTCTCTTATAATAAGGAACGGAGGGAGTAACATATATTCCATGTCAAATGTATAATGAAATCCAAGATAACGATAATATTTAGTGGGCATCATAATGTCTGTTATGCCCTTTGCAAATACAGGGGGGAAAAGCCAAAAAAGGTTCTTGAAAAGTAAAATATGGTAAAACACATGCCAAAGCAAAGTTCAGACAAGACTCATATCTCATTACTAAGAATGCTTAAAAACGAATTACATGACCAAGCTTGCTCTTGCATCACTAAGGTGCTTAGCTGAGAATCCAACTTAACCAGCTAATTCACCTTGTGAGTGATCACTTATCGCGAATAGATGCCACCCAGTCCTTGTCAAAGCCAAAATGTTCCAATAAATCACGCAGATATTGCTGCCTTTTTGAGTCATCCATGATTGCCTTTGGAACGTCTGATTTTAGAAATTCCAACATGTTAGCTGAGGATTCTTTGGCGAGAGCTTCCATTATATTCCAGTAATTGTGGATATTTGACAAAAGCCTCTTCTAGCAAAAGAGCTCGTCTTGCCTCAATCTTGAATAGACCATGAAAATCAACCAGCTCTGCTGCTGAAGGGTGTTGATTGGACATTGAAGAGGAAGTCGATGCTTCTATACTCGGTGAAAGTGTGGTCGGATGCGCAGGCAAAGGAGCTATAAATAAAAAGGATGTATCAGAAACCATGTGCAACTTGAAATGATATATTATTGTATTAGTTCTGTTTTGGGCAGTTCAAAAGATACCTTTGTATTTTTCTTGAGCTTCTTTTGGGCCCTTCACAACCAGTGGTTTTTCAAAGTTCAACATGTGCTTGTGTCTCAATCACGTCCTATATATCAACCAACAATTTAAGTCTTTTGGCTTGTATTCTAGATAACGTTGACCTATAAAGAAGAGTGTAATGAACCTACCAGTGATGAAATTCCCGCTTTTGATTCTCCTGCTGGAGGATCTTTATGAAGGCTTTCCTTCTCTGTACATCAATTGTCAAATGGTATAGTTTTAATTCCAAGTTGACTTCAAAGAGAAAACTTAGTCCTTAAGTTCACTATATATTTTTAATATAATTTTACAAGAGGCTGAAAAATGTTTTGATGGCAAGAACTAAATTAATTTTCCAAAGTAGAGGAATATAGATAATAAAGAATTAAGTGAAAAAACACAAGCTGTGTGCTGAGAGTAGTTGGCTATAGGTGAAAAGCAGTAGGAGTCAAGATACACCTGCTCTCGACGGCCTTCTTGGAGCGTCAACACCTTCAGATTCTTGTGACTGAGGATGATTCTCTGCAGCTGCTAGAACTTCTTAATGCAAAATTTTCAGAAAGCATTTATTGATATAAGAAGCATCAAAAGAATATGCAGATAAAATATATAAGAAGGCATCAAAAGAATATGCAGATAAAAATAATTAAGAAATCCATACCAGAATTACCATCCTGCTTCAGAAGGTAAAAACTTGAACTACTTGTGCCAATGCTACTTGGATTATCAACTTGAACTGTAGAAGTGGCAGTAGCAACACCTTTGCCTTTCTTTGAATATGTTAACGCAGCATGTGATGACAAGGAATAGTTTTCTGCTGAAGAATTTCCAATCACTGCCTCATAAACTGCATCTTCTGAAAGCAAACTTAGAGAAGACAATTTTTTAATGAATTACTTCGCGAGTTATGTAAATGAGGTCTTCCACATACCTGGCCTTTTGTGTTCTTTTGGCAAGTCCTCTGGCTCTAACATAGCAGATAGTGTTTGTTTCAGATTCGGACAGTCATGTACTCGAAATAGCTCGCATCGCAGCTTAATCCGTTGGTGGAAAATAATCAGATTTGGCAACTTCACCAAACGTAAAGTTTTGAGACATGGAACCAAGTCTTTAGAACCACCTTGAGAAATTTCCTTACTCTTGCCCTTTATTACATACTCCAATTCAAAGCAATCTTCTATCTCCAAAGTGCTCAACCACGTCAATGTTTCTGCGGTCAATTCTGTGAACAGAGATCTCAGCCTTGGACATGATTTTACAGTCAGCCTCTGAAGATTGGTTAGATTGAACGATTCTGGAAACAGTAGAGCTTTGATAGGTTCGGGCATGTTCCGTTCACATGCTTGGATAAGCCTTGGAAGATCTTTCAAACTCAGGTAGCTAAGCTCTGGAAGTATAGCTTGTCCATCATCTTCTCTTCTTTCCTCACTTGAATATGCTTCAATGCTCCCTCCATTCATTAGAACTTCCATCCCATGACACTCTCCTATCTTCAAAGTTCTAATCGATTTCAATGTTTTAGCTGTTGATACACTGAACAACGACCTCAACATCGGACAAGAGTTTACAGTTATCCTTTCCAGGCTGCTGTTGCTGCTCAATGGCCCTGAAAGTAATCATACAAATGTGATATTATACCAAATGTATAAAAAATATTTAAATATTAACCAAATTTGTGTTTTATATTCTTCTTACAAAAGTGCTTCTTTCGAAGTACCTGTGTACCGATTATTATAATCCTCATCCTCAATGATTTGCTCTAGCTGAGAACAGTCTTCTATCGCTAGCTCCCGCAGTGAAGATATGTATGTCATCATCCGGATCGAGAAGATAAATTTTAGTTCCCCACATTTATAAAATTTCACTCTTCGAAGGCTGAGAAGTTGTTTGCGACCATCACATATGTATCTCACATGAGGCAGATTGTTCAAAGCCAAACTCCGGAGGGATGACAGTAAAAGTGAATTTGATTCCATATTAATGGCAGCAGGTTGTGTAAATTGAAAAATGCCTTCCACTTCGCAATCTTCAAGATGAATGCTTTCTACACTTTGCACAGCCATTTCACTGTAATGTTTTGACGCAAGTTGCAACTCCTACAACAGGGTCCACATGATCAATAAAATAAAAATATCATGAAGGGTAAAAAAGAAAATAATTAACCATCAAAGAAGCAAGCTTCTTATATGAGTGTGTGTGTGTGTCAACAAACTAGTATTACCTTTGTAAACTGGTCACCATCTTGCTGACTCACTTCTGAATCTAAATCAGATATGCTGCTCAGCTGTGGACATCTCCTTATGCATGCTTTGGCAACGTTTGGCCATGTTATGTGACAATTTTGAGGACAGATGTTAATGATATTTGGCAAGTCAGTCAGCTTCAACACTTTTAGAATCGGAAGATCAATGACCATCTGAATTCCATTCCGACTTTGAATTCCTTCATGATTGTATATGCCAAATATGTACTTTAACTCACCAGCATCTTCAACTTCAAGACTTTCCAGCTCCAAAAAGCCAACAAAAGATGCTGGCAATATGAATTCCAGATGGTCACATCCCTTAACGCTGACTTGTTTCAGCTGTGGGAACAAAGGCCCTAACGAAAGAATGTCATCTTCCTCCTCATCTCTTATGATATGCTTCAGTGCATTGCAATCTCTTACTTTCAGCACTTCCAACAATACCATAGTTCGAGCAGTGGCATATGTGAAAACAGATGTCATCCTTGGACAATCCTCCAATTGTAAGTGCTTGAGATTACACAGGTTAAGCTTGCCCACAGAGACAATGCAGTGCAATTGGCTACTCTCCACAATAAATAGCTCCTCTAATGTCTCAAAAAGACCAAAGGGAGGCGAACCACGGCACAAGACTTCCAAGCACTTCATGCTTTTAATTCTCAGCTTCAGTAACCTGGAGAAGACACTTTCAGCCTGATAGCGCTTGTAATTTGCGGTGTCAATCAGACATTCTATGTTGTCTGAATCATGAAGCAAAAATTCTGTCAACTCATTCATACATCCTCCATTTTCCGGAATCATGTCAGGAATGATGTTTTTGCAATCTCCATGTATTTTTTCCAGGTAAAAAACCTCCAGTTTCTGTGATAGATTCTTGATTGCTTCATTTGCAGAGGAGACACTAAAACCATTTATAGATATAAATTTGGACGTCGCATCATGCTTCAAAATATCGATGGAGCTTCCAACTTCTAGATGATACTTTTTCAATACCTTCGAAGAGCCAATTCCATGAAGTAATTCGATGATATTCTGATCATTTGACTCCGCTTCCTGAAGATTGTTTTCAATAAAATACAGCTCTTCCAGTTGAGAACATCTTGCCAACACATCAAAAGGATTGCCTCCCATTTTGCTCCCTGATATTTCCAACAGTTTTAACTTCTTTAGATCCACTAATTCTTTCGGTAACTCGCTGATTACACAGTATAATAGCTCAATAGTATCAAGCATCTCGAGGCTTCCCAAAACAGATATGTCGCCCAACGTCCATCCTCTCAAGTAAAGAGTTCGAAGCTCTTTTAAACTCACAATTGAGGGGGGTAGCAATAGATTTGGGGTTGTCAATACAGAAGCAGATATTATGGCCAGCACCTTGAGCTTTGTCACCCGCAGGAAAAAATTATCTGGAAATTTTGGAGATGAGCGACCATCATTGTTGGAGACAACTAAAATCTCAAGTTCAGGGCAGTTTAAATGATGTCGAAATTCATTTATATCATGGCAATATAATCTACTTGTATCTTTCATTAAAGCCCCCTTTATTAGGGCACTTATATTCTTTTCATGCCCCACAGTCAGTTGAGTATCTTTTGCTACCGACAATGCTACCTTAAGCGCCAAGTTGTGCACGTGAAAGTGTCCTTCTTTGGATTGCAGTAACAAACATGAGTTATCCATTTCGGCGATGGCTTCATGCACGATGTCTCTAGCTCTTTGATATGAGTCAACATTCTCAAATAGCCTCGATCCATATGCAAATCTGGTCAAGATTTCAGGGGAAATTTTTGAACCTTTTGGGAAGAGAGCACATAATAAGAGAAGTGAGCTCGCTTGATCCTGCAATTCACCAACACTAAATTTCAAGTTACGATAAACCATTTCTTCTTCGCTTCCGAAACCAAGGACTGTAGGATCCCTCAGTTCTTCCAATGCTTTCTCCCACACGGTTGCCTCTTTGTCCTTCAAGGCCCGAGCGATAGCTGAAATTGCAACCGGTAATCCTTGGCATTCTTCAACAATCTCTCGTGCCACAACTTCAAATCTATCTTCTATTTCACCAACATGCTTTTTGAATAAACGCAAAGCTTCCTCTTGGCTTAGAAGTGACAAGTAGACCTCTTTTTGACAACCCATCGAGGATAATGTATGGCGTCGCCCAGTAGTCAAAATAACCTTGCAATTTTTATCAACGGGAATCCCTATCTCTTCAAGTTCAAGCTTGCTCCACATATCATCTAGGACTAAAAGAAATTTGCCACCCGTCTTAAGCCTCTGGCGCAATCTCGCAGCTTTGCCTTTATCAGATTCTTCTATAAGTAGCAAGCCTAACCATTCTGCGATAGAGGCTCGAACACTTTTGACATTTGGATACGGCGCTGTTACATATATCACGTCGTCAAAAAGTTTCAAGCCCTTTACTGCTTTGCACACTTGCATGACCAATGATGTTTTACCGCAACCTGCCATTCCATAAAGCCCAATTATATTTATGCCATCATCTTTTAGTGCCATTAAGAGTTCATCGTTGGCCCTTTTTGTGGACTCGAAGAAAATGAAATCTTCAGAACCGCTGCTATGGTGATGTATGGGTTGGGTGTCCTGTACAGAAGAGGATTTTTCTTTATGATCCGTCTGCGATGGACGAGTTGATGCCAACCTTTTATTCAGCCCCTTCATTTTCTCTGTCATCCTTGCCAAACGCTTGCCTTCAATAAATTGACATTTCCAGTTGAAAATCCCACAAGAATGACTCTTGCTTGCATCCGCTTTGCCCGTCAGTTTATTCACTTTTTCTATGACATGTTCTGCGTCCTCCAACCATTGCTTAACATCTCCTGAAGGCTCTGCGCTTTTAGCTTCGACTTCCTTAATTTGGGCCAGCAAATTGTGTTTTTCATTTTCAATATCTGTAACAAGAGTGTTAAATCGAGCTTTCCACGTTGCTGATCGTGCAAGACTGTTAATTTTGAAGTCCTAAAAAGTGAACACAATAATAGATAAGTAGGTAACCATTGATGCAATAACTAGTATCTGATCACACACACACACAGAGAGATTAAACATTGCATTACCTGCTTTGTAGCTTTAACAGCACCGGAAGGCTCAGACACGCTCCTTGGTTGTGGACATCTCACCATATATGGTTTATCCAAAGATGGATATTTCATCTCATAATTTTGAGCGCAATAATCAATGAGACTTCGTAAGCCAATGAGCTTGAATACTTTCAAAGCTGCAAGGTTAATTTGCCGCTGCTGATTTTGATCATCTTCATAATTGGGTTTGCCAAATACATGAGTTAACGCAGCAGCATTTTCTATTTCAAGAGACTCTAGTTGTGAAAGCCCACCAGCATAAGAGACCGGCATTATGCATTCCAGATTATTACATTCTTTGACAGTGACATGCTTCAACTCTGGGAACACATGCCTGTTTGAAGTCTCGCATCCCTCCTCATCTGTTAGTATATGCTTCAATTTAATGCAACCTCTGACTTTCAACACTTGTAACATTTTCATTTTTTGAGCAGTGGCAGCTGTGAAGAGAGATGTCAACTTTGGACAATCTTCCAATTCTATGACCTCGAGTTTTAGTAACTCCAGCTTGCCTAAAGATGCCAATACACCACAGTGCTTTAAAAATAGCTCCTTTAGATTCTGGAGAAGGCCACGAGGAGGGGGAACAGTACACAGTGCTTTCATGCCCTTCATGGCTTCAACTTTTAGCTTTTCCAACTTGGAGAAAACAGGTGTAGGTGATTGATGCTTTATGGCGTCAATTAGGCATTCAATGCTGTCAGAATCACGAAGTGTAAATTCAGTTAACTCATCCATATATTCTCCTTCTGATAAAATCAAGCCAGGAATGATACTTGTACAATCTCCCCGAACTTTTTCCAAGAAAAGGACATCAGGCTTCTGTGCTAGACCTTGGATTGCTTTCTTTAAGACAGAGATATCAAAGTCATTTATAGACAAGCATTTTGACATTGAATCATCATTGAAAGCATCTACAGAGCTTCCAAATTCTAAATGATACCTCTGCAATACCTGATAGGAGGCAAGTTGCTGAATAAATGTTGCAACATTTTGATCATTTGGCACCATGTTTGGAACGGAATTTTTAACAAAATACAGTTCCTTCAATTGTGAACACCTTGCTAGCACCTCGTAAGGATTAGCACCTATTATGCAACATGATACTTCCAACAATTTTAACTTCTTCAGTGTCGCTTCAGGCAGCTCCTTCACTTCGCAAGATGATAGCTCCATACTATGAAGCATCTTTAGTTTTTCAAAACATGACATGTTGTCTATTCTCCATCCATTCAAGCAAAGAGTTCGAAGCTCTTCTAGTCTTTCAAATGATTGGGGAAACAACAGAGCTGGCCTTGTGAAGCCAGAAGTATCCTTTATGGCTAGCACTTTGAGCTTTGTAATCTCTTCGAAAAGGGTAGCTGGAAATTTTGATAAATATCCGTTATCATTGGACATATATAGAATCTCAAGTTCAGGACTGTTTAGTCGATGGGGAAAGTCAAATGTGCCATGATAGTATAATCTTGTTGTTTCTTTGAAATATTGCTTCCCATCTAGGTCCTTTAGATTCTGGCTAGGCTCCGTAAGCACTCGAGTCTTTTCATTTGCTTCTGATAAAGCTACAGCACGAAACATATCATGCAGTTTAACATGTTGTCCCTTTTCTTGTAGCAACAAACAACTGTCCTTGAATTTATCAATGACTGTAGGTATTGTTCTCCTAGCACTTTGATATGAGTCAACATCTTGAAATATGCCCAATCCAAATGCAAATCTGATCAAAGTTTCAAGAGTAAGCTCTGCATCATTAGGGAACAGAGCACATAACAAGTAAAGCGATTTCTCTTTTTCTATCTTTAACTCTTCAAAACTAAATTTCAAACATTTGTAGGGATTGTACTCTTCTTCACTATTCGCATCCCATAATGTATGATGTTTTAACTGCGTCAACGCTTCCATCATTGCATAATCTCTTTTACCTTTCAAAGTACTAGCCACAGCTCTAATGGCAACAGGTAAACCTCGACAGTAATCTACAATGACCTCTTCTGCCTGATTTTTCACTTCTTCTGTTATTGCACCAGCACGCTGTTGGAATAATTCCCAAGCTTCGTCTTTTGTTAAATGTGGCACAGGAATCACTTTCTGACAATCCATCAAGGTACATTTGTCCTTATGCCGTGTACTTAAGAGAACCTTGCAATTTTTACGAGAAGGAATACCTATCTCGTCAAATTTAAGCATTCTCCACACATTATCCAGGATTATAAGATAACTTTTATCCTTTTCAAGTGTCATGGACAGTCTTGCAGCTCTGGCGTGTTTGTCCATCTCCGTCTCAAAATTCAAATCGATCCAGCTTGCAATGGCTTGTTGAATATCAAGGATATTTGGAGGATCGGACACTTCAACAAAGGCAATCTTCTCAAAAAGTTCTCTGTCCTGCGCTTCCTTGTGCACTATTTTTAACATGGAGGATTTACCACAACCCCCCATCCCAAAAAGCCCGATCTTCAACTTCGTATCATCTTTCAGTGCCGTTATGATTTCGTCACGCGCCTTTTCAATGGAATCAAAGAAAATGAAATCTTGAGGAAGGGACATCGCTCGAAGCGACGATCGGTGTGCAAAATCTAGCTTTTGTTGCAAGTAATCTTTGAGTTCCTTCATCTTGTTCGTCATCTTTTCCGTCTTCCTGCCTACAATACAACGACATATCAAGTTAGGGAAAGCCCCATTGCAACAATCAGAGCTTGCTTTTGCTTTCATTTCTTGATCCTTTGCCTTCTTTAAGAGAGTTGCTGCGTTCTTCAACTGCAGCACAATGTCTTCTCCAGGAACTCGACTATTAGCTCCGGCGTTTATAACTTGGACTTCCATGCTTCCACATACTGATTCTAACAATTCTATTTCACCACCCAGATTTTCAACAAGCTCGGTGAATTCCCACCAATAACGGGTAGCTTTCTTTACTGCCTCTATGAACGCAGTTGCCCCAACTCCGCCCGCACAATTGACTAAAATGTCTATCCCCGGCGCCATTGAAAGCGGCTTAACCTGATTAAGAACTGCAACATGTTATATATAGTTACGCAATTACGTTAGATAAATACATGGCCATTACAAGTTCAAGTTCAGTCTAACAAATAACAATTGTGTATATAACTAATCACAACTATAAGTTCAGCCGTAACAACTATTTTTAATAAAGGGGTAGTCCCAGTGAAGGATCAAATTCACAAACGAATTAGCCGTAACACCTATTTTTGAAAAATGGAGAGTTCTAGTGAAGGATTAAATTCACAAATCAATTATTAAGGAGTAGAGGATGTAATAACAGATGAGAAGTAGTGATATGGATGCAATAAAAATATATGCTAACCTTTTTCTTTCGGAGTCTTCTGCTCCGGTAGATAATTAGAAGTCTCCTTTTTTCTTTTTTTTTCCTTTTCTTTCTTCTTCTTTTTTTCGTTGATTTATTGCATACCAGAGCAATCAACCAAAGGAAGGTAAAATGAAGAATCAAAGTAGAAAGAAATCAGGACTCACAAACTGAAAAGGAAAAAGGAAGTATTCAGTAACTATTATAACACGTAACAACCATGAGAAAATGAAAAATGTAAAAGATGATTTATTATTTTTCATTTTCTATACTTGAGTGATAGTATGAGTCAAGAATGAGAAAAGTAGAGCAAAATCAATGTAGCTCCGGCAACTCTACCTGAGGGAAAGAACAGAACCTGGGGGAAGGAACAGAACCAGAGAGTAGGAGTCAAGATGAAGACGACTGAAAGTGTGAAGAGAGAAGATGAATCAAAATGGGGAATGGTTTGCCATGTCAAGACTTGAAAAATAATCCTAAATCTCCACTTTGCCCCTAGAAATGTGACGGGGTACTGTACTTTTTGCAAGAGTTATATTTTCGGCCTAGGTTAACTTGGGAAATTCAAAGTTAGAAAGGAAGAGAAATAATGGGGAATGGGGAATGCCAAGACTGGAAAAATACTCCTCGATCACTCACTTTGCCCCTAGAAATATGACTAGGTAATTCTTTTAAGCTTTAATGCACGCGCTCTTGATTACTGGAGACCACGAAGTCAAATTTCCAAGTCTTTTTTTAATAATAATAAGTTGTCATTTGTCAGTTGGTTCAGATTAGCGTATAAATTACTACTTGTTTTGGCCTTATTATACCTCTTGCAATTTAATATATAGGCTATACAAAAATCAATGAATGGTAAAATTATAACTTCACATTTCCTTGGCCCCCTTGCTTTTGAATGGGAAAATGACCCCAAAAAAACTGTCAAAATAGAAAAATTACAAATTGAAACCTATGATAATATTAGTACGGGTTTTGATAACAATAATATAGATTTTGACAACAATTTTTGTTAACAGATCCCTGTGTGCAATTTTTTTATTTCAACAATTTTTTTTTTTTGCAATTTTTCTTTTTTGAATTCACCTTAGACAATCCCCCGTGAATAATAGAGACGACCTTATGTCTCTGACGGGGTCATGCCTGGAAACGCCGAAGGCGGAAAGGAAAAGATTTATGGCTTTTGACATAGTGGTCCAAGCTCAAGATAGTGCACGCACAAGCCCATACATATACACACACATATATACATAAATTGATTCGTATCGACTTCTCATTCTCAATGCTTAGCTAATGCCCGCCTAACTTCTAACTCTTGGCAACACATGCTATCTGTTTTCTAACCCTCATACTGTCGTTTTGGAACAGTGTCGTTTTTCATGTAAAGCAATAGTGCTGATCAGTTTTTCATGGCTGAATGTTTGGCATTAAGAGAAGCTTTGATGATCAATTGAAGATTTGAGGTTAGAGGAGTTATGTGGCCACTTATGCTTGACTTATGTTCTAAATTCTAGATCCCTACTTGTATGTTTGTGTGTGTATGTATTAAAACATGAATGACAATACTACTATATTATTCTTGTTATGGCTTTGTATTATATTGTTATTATTATAATAAAATTACTATTGTCAAAGACTATGTAAAGCAAAAGAGTAAAAGAACAATATCATTACTACGGAATTATAAATACTTGAAGATCATTTTTTAAAAACAAAACTGTTAAAAACAGGTGAGGCAGAAATTATTATTTAGATGGCATTTTTCTGAATTTAAATGGCATTGTTTCTAAACTTCAATGGCATTGTTTTAGATATTTGAAATGGTTTAAATAATTAAATATGATTTTGAATATTATTTGGTATGCTTTCTATTCTTGCCATAGATTTTTTACTTTTGTAATTGAAGTTTGAAACTCATGGCCCGTTACACCTAGGCCTTCTTTGAGATACTTCTTTCACCTAACTTGAGATGACACTATTTTGATAATCATATGAATGACATTATTTTAGTTCTGTTAAAGCATTATTCCTAATAGTTTTAATTGTTGGGTTATTCAAATTGGAATCGTCTTGCATGTTTTGTGTTTAGAGATTTACTTTTCAAACTGTTATACTGCCAAAATTTTTTCCCCAAATTATTGAAAGTTAGTTGATACATTGTTGTTGAAATTACTCATGTTAAGTAATTTTTAAGTGATTATGCTACTCAATTTTTTCAAATGGAATGGGAAGTGATTAATTTTTTTTTTTTTCAATTACTAGTTACTAACAACTAGAGTTATTACTTGTTAACAATTGGGATAGTAGAAGTAAAATTAAGGAAAATTTTCATTTAAGGACAGTAGGTGAGAATTTATATCAATCAGCCCTCAAACATTCTGAAATGTCACGATAAGACCAAGGGACCAAACTAAAATTAAAATTAAGAGTAAAATTATAATAATACCCCTCACTTTTATTTTTTTAAAAAAATAAATATTAATGGTTGTCAGAGTTTCGACCACCGGAGGTCTGAGGTCCAGCCACCGGCACTTAGGTGGCCACTGCCAGAGGTTGGACCTCCGGTGGCCGGAAAATTTTTTTAAAAAAAAACAAGGTGGCCAAGGGAAGATTTGAACCAATGACCCCTTGGCACACTAAAGTCATGTAACCACCAAGCCAAACAAACCATTCAATCATGTGATGCAAATAAAAATATATATAACAAAATAAACGCAAGTGTCTAAGTATAAATGAACAGGTGAAATTCGACAATTTACAAGTGAAATTCAGTAATTTACAACAAAAATTTAGCAATTTACAAATAACATAATGCAATTCATAACCCCAAATACAAGTGTTTAAGTGCAAATGAGCAAGTGAAATTTGAAGACTTACAATAAAAGTTTATGAATTTACAACCAAATTTGGCTATTCACAAGAAAACACAAGAGAATTCACAACCCAAAATGTAAGTATTTGAGTGTAAGCGAACAAGTGAAATTCAGCAATTTATAATAAAAATTTGACAATTTACAAATAGCATAATAGAATTCACAATCCCAAATACAAGTATTTAAGTGTAAATGAGCCAATAAAATTTGAAGATTTACAACAAAAGTTTACAGATTTACAACCCAAATTTGGCTATTCACAAGAAACACAAGAGAATTCACAACCCAAAATGTTTGAGTATAAGTAAACAAGTAAAATTCGACAATTTACAATTGAAATTCAACAATTCACAACAAAAATTTGACAATTTATAAGTAACATAATGAAATTCACAATCTCAAATGTAAGTGTTTGAGTGTAAATGAGCAAATGAGCAAATGAAATTTTCATTGTAAATACTAAATTTCACTGGTAAATTGTCAAATTTCACTTGTAAATCCATAAATTTTTGTTGTAAATCTTCATATTTTACTTGCTTATTTACACTTAAATACTTACATTTGGGATTGTGAATTCTATTATGTTATTTGTAAATTGACAAATTTTTGTTATAAATTACTGAATTTTACTTGTAAATTGTCGAATTTTATTTGTTCGCTTATACTCAAATACTTACATTTTGGGTTATGAATTGTCTTGTATTTCTTGTGAATAGCCAAATTTGGGTTGTAAATCCATAAACTTTTGTTGTAAATTTTCAAATTTCATTTGCTCATTTGCACTTAAACACTTGTATTTTGGTTGTAAATTACATTATGTTATTTGTAAATTGCTAAATTTTTGTCGTAAATTGCTAAATTTCACTTGTAAACTGTTGAATTTCACCAGTTCACTTATACTTGGACACTTGTGTTTGTTTTGTTATATATATTTTTATTTGCATCATATGATTGAATGGCTTACTTGGCTTGGTGGTTACATGATTTTTGGTGTGCCAAAGGGTCATGGATTCAAACCTTCCCTTGGCCACCTTATTTTTAAAAAAAAAAAACTTTGGCCACCGGAGCTACAGTACGGCCACTGGAGGTCTAATCTCCGACAGCAACCACCTAAGCACCGGGGGCCGGAACTCCAGCGACCATTAATATTTATTTTTTTAAAAAAAAAAAGTGAGGGTATTATTGTAATCTTACTCTTACTCTTAATTTCAATTTGGTCCCTTGGTCCTGTAGTGATATTTCAGAATGTTTTGGGGGCTAACTGATATAAATTCTCACCTGCAGTCTTTAAATGAAATTTTCCCTAAAATTAAAGAGGGATAACATGTGATTACTTGTGACTCATTGATTTCCTATCTTCGTTTAATTTGCCCAATATCCTTGAGTCGTTGATCACATTTTCCTTTAAATGATTCATGTTAGATAGGGACCATGGACAGCAAATTGATGTCTGCTAATCTTCTATTAAAGGAATATTGGGACGGAGTAGAACATTTTGTTAAGTTTGTGATTGAGCATGCCGATGATCACAGTAGGAAGTTAAGTGTTGCCTTCTCAAGTGGGTTCCGTTATCTGTTTGTGAGAACGACTTACTTGTTAATAGAATCAAAGTTATAAGTATTGAACAAAGCATGGGGAGACAAGAGATGCGAGTAATAGCAATTGAGAGTACAGTGAAAGTTTTAGGTCACTCAATTTTGACACAAGTACATATAAATGTGATGTTCTTGAAGATATGGCCGACATGATTGAATGAGAAATAAGAGATGCTTTATGTTTCTTTAATA